AAAAAAACAGGGCGTTACACATAGTGATATGGGAGCTTACGTGGAAGGTACATGGCTAAGATACATGCATGTAAGAGAGTCCCACACGAGAAGAAAATTCTCTCACATGGGAAATTTTTCTCCGTTCTTATTCTCTTCATGCAAATCGTTTATAAGGTGTCCTTATCCAAAAAGGACTCACAAGATTTATCTTTCAAGAATCCTAACCGGTTTATCTCTTTCTAAATCTCATCTTGAATGAGTGTTTGCATCCAATTCAACAAGTACAGACTCTAACGGGCACGTTTTCTTTAAGATCACTTATCTCCTAGATTTTTTTTCTAGATTTTCTCGTTAACTTTCTCATAGATTTTCTCCTCAATTTTTTCCTCATGCTCGATTGTCCTTTATTTTCTCAAAGGAAAGGAGTTATTGTCTACCTCAACTTGGTTGCATCTTAAGTTATCTACAACACTAAAAATTAGTAAAATAATGGAGTCTAAATCCAAGAATAATTCTTCAAGACAAAGCCGTCACAATCCTTGAAGAATTCAACAATTATCCAAAAGTGAAGAGTCTTAATTAATTTGAATTTACAAGTCCTTATTTTATTATTTTCTTAAAAAGATTTAATAGATTTCAAGATTGTTCCATTTGATATATATTTTAATTCTCTTAATGTTTTCCCATGAAAAGGTCATGACATTGATTGTAATCAATCAATTCAAATTAATAAATTTAAAGTATTTTCAAGCTTTACCTTTTAGCTATTGTGAGTGCTCTTTGAGGAGGTTTCTTCAACTATCTTATTAAGTAAAGAATAGGTTCTACTTATCGAGATATAATCTTGTGACGTCTTATCAGTTCTTATTTTTTGTTTACAATTACCTTAGTTCTCAATTATAAGTTGATTGTAGGTTAAACATAGATGATTTGTTTAGGAATTAAGTTGTTTTGTTAAATTGTATGTTAAAGTTTTTTTTTTTTTTTTTTTTTTATTATATTAGTTGATTTTGAGTTCTGTATTACTAACCTAAAGTTATTTGACTTAGTTGCACGAATTACCGTAGCATCGCCCATTGTAGGTCATGCTCATTAGAGAACATGAACAAAAATAGATTGCACGTCCACACTTTCCTTAAAAACTTCTAATTGGGCTTCCACAAAATTTCCATGCTTTTCATCACTATCAAAGAATTGAAAACTCTTTTGGCATGCAACTTGAGTATCGAACCAAAAAATACTCAAGTTGCTTAGAAGTCTCTATGGTGCTTTGCTTGGGTACCTCAAAAATTGTAATTGCGGGACTTGTTAAATTAAACGTATACTTGTTGTACCTTAAGTTAGATTATTGCTAGCCACTTTCAAGGCCTTACATAGATATATGAAAAAAAACTTATCGATGTCCTGAAAACCTAGAGGCACTGAAACAAAAGCCAGAAGAAAAAGCTAGTAGCAGGATAGGAAAAATTAATCCAAAAAGGCAAGTAAATCAATTGGAAAATATACCAGATTGGAGAGTTCATAAAGAAATTTAAAAAAAAAAAAAAAAAAAAAATCAAATACTCTTTGTCCAAAAAAAATAAAGATTGCTCTGAGGGAGAAACCCTAATGAAAAAATCAAAGACACTGCAGTTTGCATAAAGTTCAAATTAAATTACATCTAGTCTTCACTTTATAATTAGTTGTAAAATAAAGGGGTATCTCTATGTATGTAATTATACTGGGATTCTATTATTATTATTATTATTAATATTAATAATTTCTTTCACTAGGGTTATAACCATAATTTATCCTGAATTTAATTTTATAGTTACCATCCGCACATGAATACATAGATGGCATATGTGCTGGAAAGGTTATGGTCAGTACTTTGAAAAATAAAATAAAATTGGACCACTTAATTAAATCAATACGCACATCCACCCACTTCCCTACCTTGCCAGTTACTAAACTACCTAATTGATTAATTCATTAATCTACACAAACCTCCTATTTCAAAAAAAATAAAATCAATCTGTACGAATAAGAATTTAATTGTGTGTGAAATTGATTATTTCGTGGGTTTTTTTCTGATCTACCGTATGCAT